GTTTCTTCTGGGGCCCAAGCACTTGAGTCACCCTCCTCTACTTTCCCAAGTGCATCAGCAGGGATCTGGACAGGAAGCAGAGCAGCCAGGGACCGGAACTGTGCCCATAAAGAACATCAGTGTCCCGGCTGCTCTACCAGCTATGCCACACAGCCAGTTCCTATTTTTGTTTTCAGTCACAGGCTCTGCCTTTGTCCTGAATAAAGGATGGGGGTTGCCTGGAGAGGGCCCTGCAGGCCTTGACTGTCACCAAGGGGACAGTCACAGATCCCAGAAGCCCAGTCTGCCTCTTGTGGCCTGAGCTGACTCTTGTACACCAGCCGAGCAGGCCAGGGTCACCAAGTAGTCACATGTCACTTTGAATAAGAAGCCCTGAACTATAGCTGAGAAGTGAAATGGGCAAACAGCTCAGCCAAACACAGCTGGACCCGTTTTTGCTTTTTTTTCTTTTTCTTTCTTGGGTCGTGTGGGCGGGCAGCAGTGGAACCTTTACTGCCTCGCTCGCCTTCCCGGAAGCTGGGAAGGTCATTTATCTCCTGAGCTGTCTGGTCTGATTTTCCCCTGCATGAGCACAAGACTTGATTCCTCCCATCCTGCTGCTTCTGGCTCAGCTCAGAGAGCAGGAGCTGGAAGGGAGGGAGAGAGCCCCAAGGCTCGGCTCCCGCCTGGCAGCACCCAGCCCCACTCCAGCCCCAGCAAGCTGGGGCAGCTTTTGCTGGACCCCAAGCTCAATTGTTATTCTCATTCTCTCGCAGCTGTCTGGGCCTGGCCCACCACACGTGCCCCTGTGTGACTGCTGCCTCTGTCCCAAGGCTTCTGGGCGAGCTGGTGGAGATGGCAGCTGCAAAGCATTTGTGTGGGCCTCCAGGCTGGCAGGGGAGCCATCTGCAGCTGGCTGGCTGCCAGGCCTGACATGACAGGAACCCAGGGCCCGGTCCCCGCCCCAGCCCCAGCCACCCAGGGTCCGTCCCACAAGGTCAAGGAGCCAAGGATGTGGGGAATGCACCTTGTGGCCCCCCTCTAGGAGAGCAATGCAACCTGGTGCTGAGATGGGGAGCAGGACAGAGAGCCGCTCCCTGCTGTCCCAAGGGGAGTGCCCACCCAAGCTCAGTGGGAACTTGTCCTCAGCTGGCTGCCTCCTGTCCCTACCCTCCATGCGCTGGAGGACTGCACAAGTTTCCACCCTCAAACCTGGAGAGTAGGGAAGAAGGGAAGGAGGGCTTTCCCTTCCAGGCCCCTGCAAGGAAAGACACTCCCCACTCCCCCCACCAGTCCTTCCTCTCACCCCTCCTGGGAGAGTTCACTAAGCCAGTAAAATGCTCAGACAGGCCTCTGGCCTCCGTAGTCCCCATCTGGTTCTAATCAGATCCCAGAGAATGCGGGGGTGGGGGGGGAAGAGGCGGGCACAGTAAGCCCTTTGACCTCCCCGTGCTGTCCCCAGGGTAGCCCCTGCCCAGAGCAATTCTCCCCCCTCCCATTTGTTTCCTTTTACCTCCCAGATGGGCCTCACACACACACACTGGACCACAGGGAAGCGAGGCAGGGGTCAGGCCTTAGAGACAAGGGCCTCCCTCTCCACCCGGGGGTCTGATCTCAGACCCCAGACCTCTGCCTGTATCAGACCTTCAAATCACAGAGGAAAGAGAGCTAGAAGGAGGAAGGACTGCAAAGAGAGACCCCGAAGGCTCTAGAAACCATCAGATCTCAGTTGAGTCTTACCCTGAGTTCTAGCTTATTCCCAAGCAGTGAAGCAGGAACTTGGAGAAGGAAACTCTTAACAGAGCTTGTTGAAGTTTTCCTGAGCCCTGTTGGTGCACTAAGCCACTGGTCTTGACATCAACTCTGGGGAGGAATGACACCACTGTTTGACAGATGGGAAGAGCAAGGCTTCTAAAGAACCAGGTTATCTAACTCCAGATTCTGGACAGCAGGCTGTCCTCCAGGGAGGGAATGGCCCAGGCCCAGCATCCTTGGCTTCCCTGCTGGGAACCAGCAGGGGGGACCCAGTTCTGCCCTCCCCTCTCAGAATCTCCTAGTCTGTGGCTCCCCAACCTTCTGCTGCCCATCTCCAGGCCCAGAGTCAAGCACACAAACCTGAATAAAACAGCCTCTCTGGTCATAAGGTTCTAATCCCATCTCTGGATTACCTCGGCGTTTGGGCCTTGATGTTTCCCTCCATAAAACAGGCGGAGTTGTCTACAACAGGATTGGACCGGTGATTGGGTGCTTCCCCAGTCCCTGGATCCTACCAAACTGAGAAAACCCAGACACTTCCCATTAGCTTGGGTGGTCTCCAGGGAGAGGGCTCTGCCCTGGGTTTCAGAATTTAGAAGAGCAAGAGGGCCAAGAAGGAAGGGACCCAGCCAGGCATGGAGGCCACCAATCTGCATCTTTGCTCTGGGGACTGCACATCGCCTCCACTGAAAGCAATTTGTCATGCTCTGAATTAAGTGATTCCAACAAGGGTTTAATTTCAGTTTCATGGCTCTGTTTTTACGTGTAATTAAATACCACTGCATGGCGAAAATATGCTGTTTGCACTTTAGACTCGGAGTTAAGAGCCTGGGAAGCCGATCTCACAGAGCTTCTGCAGGCAGCCTATCCCAGCCCCTCCCTCAGTTGGGCCCAGGAGTGGGGGCAGGAGGAGGCTGTGGGGAGGACTAGACAGGATGCCAGGTGGAGGGGAAGGGGGCTGCGGGAGGGGAAGGAAGGGGAGGTCCTGTTGGAGCCTGCTTGCTCAGGAGAGCATGTTTCTAATTATCTAAAGCACAGCTCCCCCTCCTCATCTACTCCCTGACCCCAACTTCCCCCAACCCTGGGGGCCTCAGGCACAGAGACAACAGGTCACTCTGACGGTGAAGCTCCCATTAGCCCCTGAGTGGCAGGAGCTGATTCTGCCCCATCCAGCGGTGACCTCAAAGGCTGGCTCCATCGTCTCCCATTTACTTAATATCCACTCCCACATCACCACCAAATATGCTCCCTCCCCTCCCCTGTGACCACCCAAGGTGCCAGCAGCTAGCAGCTCCCTCCACTCCCAGCAGCTCCACTCTCTCCAGGTCAGAGGTTACCTTGCCTGGGGCCTGGAATGTAGGGGGATTTCCTTCTGGCTGAGAATGTTTGGGGGTCTTTTGCCATACAGCCACACCTCACAGGCCGGGACGTTGAACAGGATCCCCACATTGTGCAACATGCCTCCTTTCTGTGAGAGCTGAGGGACAGAGCAGGGAACAACAGGCCTTTCCCTGTCTGTGCAGGAGTTGGTGACCAGAGCCTAGTACAGTTTTTGGGGGTGGGGTTGGGGCGAAGGAGACCCGGAGCCTCACCATCTCTCAAGAGATCCCTCACTCTTGCCAAAATCCAGTGCAAGAGTCAGTACAAGTCTCTACTTCGTTTTCCCTTCCCCCAGCGGACCCTCTTGCCAACGAAAAACCCAGCCCCCAGCCCTCAGCCACATCAGGGTTTGATTTACATTAAAAAGCTGGGAAATGGAAACCACATGCTTGGTTGTATATAGCTCGGCTCCACTGGGCGAGGGCGTGCAGGCAGCAAACCAAGGAGGCCCAGCAGAGCACACTGACTTCAATTCCAAGGTCATCCAGGTATGGTGGCTCCCACTGGGACAGGAGTGTGGGCCCTGCTGGAAGTGCTGCTACGCACGCAGCCATACACCATCGTGTGGGCAGGAAAAAAAGAAATTCCCTCCCCACCCTCCACTCCCCCACCCAACCTCCCACCCCAGCAGCCTGACCATCCCAGCTCAGCCCAGAGCCAAACATGGGGCAGCTTCAATTCTCTTTTTGAAACTGAGGATCCAGCTCCAGGTAAGGGCAGACGCAGTGTGCCTATGGAATTCTCCCTCCTCCCTAAAGAGTGTTCCCCTGTTCTCTGGGACTTCAGAGTTTCCCATAGGCCTCACAGTGAGGATGCGTAACGAGTAAGACCCAGCAGACAACTCTCATTTCTCTGTTCACTCAGACTGCCACAGCTCACATTGACCCCCATGCAGGTATACATCCCATTGATAACCATCTAGTGAGGACATACGCAACCTGCAGAGCCCAGACCCTCACTCCCATGTTATTGTCACACACGGGCACTGGACATCATGGAGGCACACACAAGCTACCTCCAGACTGCCCTTCCTTTGTTAAATCTACTACCCCACTGCCGAGGGCACAAAGCCAGGGAATGGGGATGGAAAGTGATGCATTAGGGAAAGAAAGAGCTGAACTTGGCTTTGGGACTTGAAACTTAATCTTCAGCCGGCACTACCTCCCACCCTGACATGCCTTGGCCCAGGCCCCAGAAAGAGTGGGCTCTCTGCTAGGCTGGGTGGTCAGGAGACTGAAAGGACATCCTTAGGGCAGCTTTGTTTTCTGTCTCCTGCTGCTGGCAGCGGTGTGGTGCTTCCAGAAGACAAGATGGCTGTAAGATGCTGGAACACTGACGTAGAGCGATGGGTCCTGGGCCCCAGCCTCAAGACATGGACAGTACGGGTACCATCGAAATTGGGGGCCAGGGAAGTCAGTTCTCTGGGGGCACTTCTAGAACTGGAGAGGGGATGCCCCCAGAAGGCAGCAGCCTCACTGCACAGGTACTTCCAGTGGCCCACCCCACTTACAGGCTGACTCTAGGAAGTGTGCTGGCCCCAGATGGGGCTGTCTTCAGTCACACCCTTCCTCCAGGAGCCACTGTTGCACCCCAAGAGTCTGAGCCAGAAGACAGTCGCCACTCCAGAGACAGGGATACCCCCATAGGAACAGGCTTCAGGGAAACAGAGGGTGTGCTGGCACCCTCCCGCAGCCCTTCACCAAGCAGGCAGCTCTGGGCACCACCCAGCACCACCACCTCCCAAAATGTGCCCCCTCTCCAACCTGGCACCTCCCCAACTCCCCAACAGTAAATCAAGCAACCAAACACAACATTCTGGACATTTTTTTGGTTTTGTTTTGTTAAAAAAAAAAAAAGTAAAGAAGAAAAAGACATGATGGCCAACTGGTAGGTTCTTAAATTTCCTTCTATCCAGTCATGCCAGAAAGAGCCCAGGGAGATGGGGTTGGGAAATGGGGTCAGAGTTGCTGAGGAAGGAGAGGATGGGGGAGCCAATGGCAGCGAGGAACCAGAAGGATGGGGTCATGTTGTGACTGCACCCCCCAGTGGGGCAGGGAGCAGGACCCCAGGCAAGCCCCTGGCCCAGCAGGTGGATCCTCTTCTCCATGAGGCACATTCGGTCCCAGCTTACATTCTCTTCCCACTCTGCCCCAAGAGTTGTCCCCACCGCCCAGCCCTCTGTTCTGTAGACCTTCTTCTGACCCCTCCCCTCCTGTCCAGCAGGGTCTCAGCTGCTAGGCAACCAAGCCAAAGGATGCCTGGGCCCCAAAGTGGCTTGTCCTTGCAGGTCCTTCTCCCGAATGACCTGGGAGAAGAAAGGAAGGGAAGTCTGGCAAGCCTTAGCCTGGGGAGTGGGTTCAAGTCACACAATCTTCAGGTCATCTTTACCCCATGCCTTCCCTTTGTCCAGCACCCTGCCTGGACTGCAGGAGGAACATCAGTCAAGGACAACGGTCTCTTCTCCTCCAACTCTGGGATTGAGACTTCTCTCACAGGTTTGTGCCCACCTTAAGGAGTGACCCATGTGCCCAAGTCAGAAGAAGTCAGAATAAGAGCTGACACATAGTATGTGGTAAATAAATGTTTTTGGATGGTTGGGTGGATGGGTGGGTGGGTAGAGGGGTGGACAGAAGAACAGGTCTAAAATCAATTTGGAAACACACCAGGGCTCCCCATTGCCATTCTCTGACCTCCAAGAGGATAATGCAGGCTCCGGCTCACCCCCTAGGCACCTCTATGCCCTTATAAAGACACACACGCGCATACGTGCGCACACACATATACATACACACACCCCCAAGAAAACTTCTGGACCACAGGCAGAGAGAGCAGGACTCAGATCTAGACTCCACTCTGGGTCAGCTGTGTAGCCTCCAGAGCAGGGGGGGTGCAGGGGGTGACAAGTCCCCCCGACCTGCTGGCTGGCAGGGCTCATTCATGGAAGCTGTCAGCCAGTTGGTGGCAGTCCAGCTCTCCCTTGGGCTCCAGTCCTCCTGGAAGCTTCACCCCTGTCTTGCGGTCCACACACCAGCACTTGCCGCGCTGCCCATCCAGGGCCGGGTGACACTGCCAAGACAAGAGCATGAAGAGTCAGCCCTTAGTAGGGAAAAGAAAGGTCCCAGATAGCCTGTCTCCATCCCAGCTCAGCCCCTAAGCCAGAGAGCAACTGTTCCACAAGCATGTCTGAGGGAAGAGGCTCTTTTTGGAGCATGGGTCCCCTGAGCTCACCGGCATCCAAGGTATTCGTCTGAGGAAGCCAACTAGATAGAGTTTGGGGAGGCAGGGCCCTGCAAAGGCCTGGCTTTGAAAGACTGTTTCAGGTCAGAGATGTTTCAGGACATACTCCAGTTGGATTAAAAATGGACTTGGATTTAAGAGCAGGAACCAAACTGGGATTAGGGATAAGACCAGGGTTAGAGCTGCAATTGGGTTAGAAATTGCAAATCAAACTTGAATTAGGTAAGGGTTGAGCCCGGGTCAGCAGAACTGGGATATGGCCAAAAGTCAAGGTCAGAACAACTGGAGTCAAGCTTAAGCTTGGCTTAGACGGTAAGAGGGGATGAGGGCAAAAGTGGACTTCAGGGTCAGAATTAGAGCTGGAATGAGGTATCACAACTTTCATTGGGGCAGGGTAGGGGAGGTAGAAATAGAAGGAAGCATACAATCATGCAACACAAGAAGTGAATCCTAATGCAAGTTATGGACTTCTAGTTACTGTAGCAGGGGCAGGTGCTGGGTTGTGGCAGATAATGCCACCATCCGCAGCACCAGCATTCCATATGGGCACCAGTTTGATTCGCAGCTGCTCCACTTCCCATCCAGCTTCCTGGAAAAGCAGGAGAGGATAGCCCAAGTGCTTGGGCCCCTGTACCCACGTGGGAGATCCAGAAGAAGCTTCTGGCTCCTGGTTTGGGCCTGGCCCAGCCTTGGCCACTATAACCATTTGGGGAATGACCCAGTAGATGGACAAGCTATCTTTCTTGCTTTTTTTCTCTCTCTCTCTCCCTGTAACTCTGCCTTTCAAATAAAATTTTTAAAAATATAATAATAATATTATCAATGCTGATCCCCTCAATTACAACCAGTAAGTCCCACAATGTAAGATTATTAAGTGCAAGGGAAACTGGCCAGGAGGAAGAAGGCAGTACTTGGGAACCATGGGCCTCCTGCAGTTTTTATACAAACCTAGAACTGCTCTAAGAAAATGCTTATTCATTTTTTAAAAAAAAATCAGAAGGGGAAGGCTTAGAGATTTGGAAAAAGGATGAAATCTGTGCTGGGATAAAAGTCAAGCACTGATTAGCAGGAGCCCTCCCTGAGCCTCCTTTCTTTTCTTTCATTCTTTCATTTTTTTTTTAAGATTTATCTATTTTTATTGGAAAGGCAGATATACAGAGAGGAGAGACAGAGAGAAAGATCTTTTATCCACTGATTCACTCCCCAAGTGACCACAACAGCCAGAGCTAAGCCAATCCGAAGCCAGGAGCCAGGAACTTCTTCCAGGTCTCCCATAGGGGTGTAGGGTCCCAAGGTTTTGGGCCATCCTCGACTGCTTTCCCAGGTCACAAGCAGGGAGCTGGATGGGAAGCAGGGTCGTTGGGACACACATTGGCACCCATATGGGATCCTGGTGCATGCAAGGTAAAGACTTTAGCCACTAAGCTATTATGCTGGGCCGGGCCTCCTTTCATTATACAAGGCCTCACACCCTCCTGAGGCCCTGCTGGAGAGTACAGAGCCAAAGCAGCCTGTGTCCTCGCAGCCAGACCTCTGCTGCCCAGATGGATGTGTCCACAGCCTGTGGAGTGGGGGAAGGGTTGTGTCTGTGCCACACAGAGCTGGAGCAGCAGACCCAGGCCAAGGGTCCTGGCACCCAACCAGATATACCTCCCTTCCGGCGGGCCAATTCCACCCAGGAGATTAGAAGGAACCCCAGATTCCAAGGGCAGAAAGCAATACAGAGCGGAACACCTCAGTGCCTTTTCTCCTGCTCCTTCCTTCCAACAGAGGCATCCCTGTGTGGGGAGGCAAGGTGCCTCTCTTTCTCCCTCTCTCTCTCTGACTCTGGGCCAGCCTGAGCCCGTTTACTTTTCTCTGGACCTTACACATCTTATCTCCACAGGAGTGAGGTTCTGACATGGGGCAGGGTAGCATTTAGGGAAAAGCCAAAGGGGCTAGGCCTGAGTTGCAGAAACTTCTTCCATCTGCACCTGCTTGGGGTGGAAGTTGCCATTGCGGTCGCAGTTGGGGATGGGGATGATGAAGAGGTCCTCGTGGGTGCGGCTCTGCGAGGCGGCCAGTCGCTCAAGGGCCCGGTGCAGCTCACTCTGACAGGAACCCTGTGGCTAGGGAAAAGAAAAAACAAAACCGCTCAGTGGTGAAAGGCAGCAGGGGCAAGCAGGACTTGGCTCACTGGGAGCTGAGGTCAAAAGGAAGAATCAAAAAAAAGTCCTGGAGGCTAGGCAGGGCCCACAGAGGTGCAGCAAGGGTGTGAGCTCCGAGGGCTCAGATAGAGAGAGCAGGGCATTGAGGATAGGGTCTCGAGACAACCAGCTTCTACAAAGGTGGGGTGTGACGTGAGGGATCCACAGAGGAGACCAGGGAGCCTGCAATGTAATTCACAACCCAAGCAGGGATCCCTCAGAGAAGCCCATCCCGAAAGGGACAGGAGCCAGCCCTGCAACAGGGTGCACAGGGCGAATGCAGTAATCGGCACTAACCCCTTAGTTACTGCAACGGTGTGGGTTGGGCAATCCACAGGGGACTTAGGGTAGCTACCACACCAAGTAGGCAAATCATTCCAAGGAAAGACTGCCTGGATCCTCAAGACACACACTATTGTCGGTGTCCTCAGAATTTAGTCCGTGTCGGCTACGTGAACTCGCCCTGATCCAGTGTGGTGGAGATGCATGCCCCGGTACACGTGTGCACGTATGAAAGCATATGCACGTGTGTAGATCAGAGGTCCTCACCACAGGCCGGGCTTCTTCTCGGGGTGGCCCCATGGCCTTCATCTTGCCCCCACTGCTGCTCCGGTCTCGGATTTTGGCGAAGTGCTTCTGCAGGCATCTGCGGTCATGGGCGCTGCAGGGACTGAAGCTGTTGTTGGGGTGATCACCCTCGTCCTTCTCTGCAGCAGGAGGCCAAAGATGGGGAGAGTCAGCACCAGAGGACAAGGCATCCTGCCAGTCCCCCTCTGCCTGCCTTCTCCTTCTCGGGGACTCTGCAGCCTGGCACTGGGGGCTGGAGGAGAGCAAGAAACCAAAGCAGCATCCCAGTTCCTTCCTACTGCCCTGGGTCCCCTCAGAAAGATATTTCTCTTAAAGTCCTTGACTTGTCCCTCACCCTACCCAGCCTAGTCCTACAATGAGTCACTGGTTGCAGCTGGCCGGATGGCAGCAGATTCCCTCTGGCCCCACAGGGAGCTCTGTGGCAGGCAGGCAGGCAGGCAGGCAGGCAGGCGGGCAGGCTCCTTCCCCAGTCGTGTCCCCCTCCAGTCTGTTTCCCCACCGGCCCCCTCTCTGTCTGCTCTCCCTTCCTGCTCTTTGCAGTGTGGACTGAGTTAGCCAGGAGACCCCCAGGCGGCTGTTCTGCAGACACTCTTTCCAATTGCCAGAATCAGAGTTTCCATGAGAGATGAGAAATGTGGCCCACAGGCTCTCCCCACTGGCTGGGTGGGAGAGCAGGAGCAGGAGTGAGTGTGTGTATATGTGTGTGTGTGTGTGTGTGTGTGTGTCTCCCTATGAGGCCCCAGGACTTAAAGAACAGACTTAAAGACTTAGAGCACCTCTGTGGCGCTTCCAGCCCCCACCTCAAAGTCTCATGCCTGTGGACACCTGGAGATAGCAGGATGGAGCAGGGCCTCTTGCCCCCTCCATGAGACCTCCCTGGAGGCTCTTTCTGAGAACCTCATCCCAAAGTCCCAGAATCAGAGGCCCAGGCAGCCTCAACCAGAATCCAGGGCTGAGCTGGAAGGATGGCGGAAGACCTCTTTGCGGATTAGAGCCCCCTCTGCAAGGCTGGGGCTTGGCAGCTCACTGTGGGCCTCAGCGCACAGCTCCTGCCAGCATTCCAGATGTTGGCAGCCAGACAAGAGGTTACATCTGGTTTGCGTCAAGATTTTTTTTTTTCCTGAGGAGTTAGTAGGTTTCTCCGTGCGTGGCAGCAGTCCCAGAACTGCCTCTGGGTCAAACGGTAATTTTCTTCTAGCCAAGGCTTGGGGACTGCTTCTCTCTCTACTCCTACATAGAGGAGTATGGGTAGGCAAGGGGGAAGCATGTGGATAAAGGAAATCCAGACAAGGAGGAATCTAGGCCCTCAAAAAGTCTTTGTCAGGGTCCCGCAGCCAGGATTACTGGTAACCTTGAGTCATCAAGAGGAGGAAAAAGATTTGGGCACAGGTGGAGGGCTGCCTGAGAGAGGCGACAAAGGGAGCAGAGAGCTAGAATCCATCCTTATCTGCACATGACATCCCCAGAAGGACAGTGCAGAAAGAACTCCAGCCTCACATCAATTTCCTGAGGGTCCACCAAAGCAAGTGCTCCCAGAAGGGCAGGGGGCCAAAAAATAAGGGGTGGTGAACTGCAGCAGAAGGAAGACAGTAAGAAAACGGACCCTGCACACCTCCTGTAGGAATCAGAAAGAGAAGGTCTGGGAGCCAGGCCTTCTTCAGGGAACCTTCCTGTCCCCAGAAGATCCAGACGGGCCCAGGACTCCCTCCCCTGGGTCCCCACCTTGCGCAAAGTCATGAGGCTTGCAGATGGAGGTCACAGGGTGTCAGGGGAGTCGGCTGGAGCTGAGCAGTAGACGGAAAGAGGAAACACAAAACACAACAGAATGAGAGCCAAATCTTGGCAGAACAGAAGCAGCAGGAAGCCATGACCAAAGGCCCTGGGAACAGCTGGAGGCAGAGGAGATCCTCAGGACTGATCTGTCACCGCCCTGGCCACCACTTCCAGGTTGTCCCCTCCCAGGCGGGCCAGTCTTTATTGTTACTGAGTTTGCTTTCTTTTCACAGCCATAAAGGAAAAGCACAGCTTTGTACAGCAACTCCTGTTCCTCTTGGTGGGAAAACAACCTCCTCTGGTTAAGAAATTTCAGAGGTTTGAAGAGTTCAAAGGATAAGGAAGAGTTTTCTAAGGCAAAGGGCTGCTCGGGAGGTGGCCAGCTGTCCACCCCAGGGGTAGGAGGCCTCCGGGATCTCCCTGGACACACAGAGAACGCATCTCGTAACTGCCGTGCTTTCCCGAGGGGAGTGTCTCAGAGCAGAAGATGGCAAGTGATTCACCCTCGGGGGATTATTAACAGATACGTGGGTGCTTACCATTAAGAGGACAACCATACACACACTGAAACCCAGAGCTGCGGATAGCACAGCATGGGGTGAGCCTGCAAGAGCAGCCAGCCTTGCCTCCTTCTTGGGAGACCCCCTTGCAGCAAAGCCCACCGAAACCTGGCTTCCGGCTAAATTCACAATAGATTCCTCCAGAGAGAGACAATGGAGCCTTAGACCTAATCTCCTGGGGCCACAGGGCCACAGAGTAAATTCCCAGCCCTGCTCACACACAGAGAGGCGGACCCTTAAGAATCACAAACACACAGTCAGGTGACTATGCTTGCAGTGTGTTCCTCAGGACACATGCACAGGGCACTCGGGCACCCTGTCCCTGCTTGGACACAGACCCCAGACAGGACACCCTGACATCACCTGCCTCTGTTGACTTTCTATTTAATCTGTAACTTTTCCCTGCCCAAGCTTGCTGAACTGGCACACTGACGACCCAGCGCAGGATCTGCCCCCTAGGCACTGGGGCTTGGGGAGCCCAGCTTGTGGCTCTGCGTCTCTTGAAAACATTCACCTTCCCATCTCCCACACCGACTGGATACTTGCTGCTTCTGGCTCATGTCAGAGTTCTAGCTGCCTGCTTCAGCTCACACAGCCTATCATACCCCACTCCCATGGTGTCCTCTGGAACCCGTGCCCGGGGATTCCCTCTGAGAGGCTGCAGTCAGACCTGACCCCCTGTAAGGTTTCAGCTCTGAAAAGCCTGTGGGTAAATGGGGTTCCCAAAGCAGACAAATCCTCCTCCAGCTTCCCCTGGGTGCTGACACCCACATGTGACAGCCGTGGTCTCTGGAAAGGAAGGAGCTCAGAGCAAGGAGAGGCTGCACAGTTGGCGAGAGCTGGAGGAGTTCCTCTTCCCTGCTGTGTAACGTCACCCCCATGGCACCCCTCAGCTCCAGTCCAGCAGCGAGGCTGGGAGGCAGGCAGCCCAGACACCAAGCTCCAGTTGCCATCTGGGAGTTGACCCACCTGTCCGGCCAGCCAGAAAGACCTTTTCCTTGCCCTCCCTCTAACTCAGGCCCTCTAGGAGGCCGATCCAAGAGCAGCCAAGGTGTGGCTCAGGCAGCGGCCCCTCACCTTTGTGCTGGCCTGAGGCTGAAGGGCCAGCCCATGTGTTCAGCCACAAAGGCACCAAGCCCACCCTGCCCCTGTTAGCGCCCCTCAATGTCCTCCCCACGTGGCTCCCTTGGCCTGCTGGCTCCCAAGTTTCAGCATCAACTCTTTCTTCATCACCATCCTCATCAACACCAGGTCACTGAGCTTTGCTCCTTATCCCGTTACAAACCAAGGGACAGGAAGGGCAGACTTAACTCTGCAGTGCCTATGTCTTTAAATGGAAAGACTTCTGATAGCCAAGGAGCCAATAATTTTAGCCTTGCCAACACTAAAGAAGGAAACAAAAATGTGAAGCAGCCTGGCTCCTCTTTCTCCCTTCCCTCAAGGCACAGAATTTCTGGGAAGGCTAATTCCCATGACATGACTAGATTCCCAGTACTGAAGTAGTGAAGACAATATTTGCTGCATTGACTAAAAATTAACCCAGCTTGCTTGTTCCCTAACCCTGGCCCGGAGGGACACAGGGCCCAGTTGAGGAACTACCCAGCCAAGACTAATCTGCACACTGAACACTCCCCCAGATTCCGAGAGGAGGGTCAGCGGGGTGAAGCAGAACTGTGGGCTTGTGATACACACGGCCCACCCACCTCTGGGGGTCTCAGGAGTGTTAATCCACACACTGGCTGGCTGGCTGGCTGCAAAAGCTGAAATGGGAGGTGGGGCTGGCCTGAGATGGAAGTGGGGAGGAGGCTGCCCCTGGTGCAAGGCAGAGGCAGCGGGACCATGACTGGCTGGAAAGCAGCCAGGCCAAGGGGTTGCCCTCCCCCAGACACCTGCTTGCTGCAGCTCAGGCCTCTAAAAACCAGCCCAATACCCTCCACCAAACATTCCCGGGCTGGAGGGGATCCAAGGAGAGACAAGGACCTATTGACAAAATAAGGCAAAAAAGTGTAGCAAAATCAGGACTGAGCCCTGATCACCTCTCACTTAAAGCCCTGCAGAACCACTGCACAACTCTAGGGGGTGTCCTTCCCTCAGTACACCCTGGCCCAGGCCGTGGTAGGAGACGGGCTTCTCTGATGACCAGGAGGTGACAGGGCCTGGGACTTGCCTGCCAAGCAGGTTTCTAGGTTCCCAGATCCCCCTGGCTCCCCCTTCGCCCTCTCCAGACACCTGTAGCTTCAGCCCAGGTGGGGGAGATAGCCAGGAGGAGAGAGAGAAGGGGATTCATGGATCTGGGCTCTGAAACTCAGCCATCCCACTTCTAGACTCCTCTGGAGGCCTTGGATGCACATGGCAGCCACCAACTATCTGTGCCATGCCTTCCTGAATGGTTACAATCTCAGATCAGCCTCTCTACCCAAGGATAGGGTCTTCCTACCCAAGTGAAGGGGAAAGCCCTCTGAGGGCTCTTCAGTTCAGGTTAACGGGAAAAGGTAGCCAGCTACCCTAATCTAGTGCCCTCCTCCCCCTCACCCAGCTCCACTGGTAGGAGAAGGTTAGAGATTCAGAAGGCAAGTGGCCCTGTTGTACACAGGGGGAGTCCAAGGGCTCGGCCTTCACTCCCAGCCTCACTGGCTGGCACTGGCTTATCCGCCCTAGGATCTGCAACTTCCTCCCCAGGACCCCTCCTCCCAAGGGTGCCAGTCTGGCGTTCGTTCCTCGTGGAGTGCTTTCTGCTGACCCATCTCTCCCTGCCCTGGGGCAGGAAGAGCAGAGAGGCCTGAGGACCAGACCCCCTGGGCCCACCTCCTTCCTGTTTTCCCTGCATCCTGCTCTCTGGCCAGCTTACAGACTGCAGAGGATTGAGGAAGTGGGGCGGTCTGGGACCTAGGGCAGGAAGCTCAAGGGGGCCAGAGTCAGGCATGCGGATTGCAACAATGGAAGCTTGAAGCAGCAGGAAAAAGAAGACCCAGATCCAGAGGTACAGGGAGAACAAAACAGGAGTTGGAGAGGGAACGAGACACAGAGACAGAGAGATCCCGGGAGTCACAGAAATCACTCAAGGAGAACAGCCACAGAGAGAAAGGGCTGCAGAGAAATGCAAAGCCAGGTGAAAGTGAGAGACGCAGGGCAACAGAAACGGAAACCTGGAATAAGCTGGAGCGAGAACGAGAGAAACCGAGCGTGGGCAGACATCGAGGAAAAGAAAACTGGTGAAACTAGCAGTTCAGAGACGAAGCAGGCAAGAACAAAAGAACACGAGAAAGAGGGAAAGAGATGGAGAAAGATTCTAGGGAGAAACTGAGAAATGGAGAAAGAGTGGAAGGATGAGATTGGGGCCAAGAGGTTCTGCTAAGTCCCACCGGCCCTCCCGCCCCCCTGCCTCCCTCCCTCCCTCCCTCCCCATCTCTAGCCCCTACCCCACACCCGCGAGGTTTCCACAGCTCTGGGCTGGCAGCCAAGACTTCTCACATGGCACCTGCCAGGAAAAGGGAGCTTGTAGACCAGGGCAGGCAGAGGGGCCCAGGCTAGGTAGAGACCCTCACGTGTGCATAGCCCTCCAACAGCAAGGTGAGCTGGCTCAGGACTTTAGGGAACAGCAGGCTGCCCCCAACCACCGCCACCACCAACGCCCCCCTCCTTTCTACTTTCCACTCCATCACGTGATGATGTCCAGGCCCCAGGTCCTCAACCCATTCTATATCCAGAAGGAGGGGCAGGCCATGGTTTTGTTACCCCACCTCCACCCTTACCCCCACTCCATCACCATGCTCCAGTTTTTAGTTTTAGACAGCTGACTGGCCTAGACGGGTTACTTTGTTTGCCCCTGTTGCACAGGCAGCCAGGCTTCTCCCCAGACAGCACCCGTGGGAGAGCTGAGACGCCATCCCCTTGCCAGAGGCAACAGGCTGCTGAGAGCTGGGTTGCAGTTTTCTCAGCTAAGTCTGTCCTGTGCATGCCAGTTGGGCTCTGCCACGTCCCTGCCTTCTCCTCGACTCACGGAGATTTTTCCAGAGCCTTCCAGGTCAACCGGAAGGAGGGAAGAAGCTTCTGGGAGCGGGAAGGGGATGAGGAGAGTGTACGAGGGAGGGTGGGTGCAGGCCAGGACCCTTACCGGTGGGCTGCAGGCTTGCCTGGATGGCTTCGATCTCCGCCAGCTCCATGCACACGCCTTGCCCGTGCATCAGCGTGTGCAGGGGTTTCTCCGTTCCCCGGGGCGGGTAGCAGCGCAGGCCGGAGCCGCAGCGCGGGGTATACACCCCGCAGGGCATTCCCAAGCCCAGGGCGCAAGTGGCACAACAGCCGCAGCCGGGCTCCCGCACTAGCTCCTCGCAGCCCACGGGGGGGCGGCAGCGCGCCAGCTTCTCCTCAGTGCAGGGCGGGCAGTGGATGGCTTCGTCGCCCAGGCTCGGCCGGGGCCCGGCGGCCAGCAGCAGAGCGACCACGAGGCTGAGGGACAGCATGATCGGGCGAGGACCAGACGCGGGACGCGAGCAGGGAGCGCGGACGCGCGTGCTAGTGGCTAGGGGCACAACAGCGGCAGCGCTTGGCGCACCTGGAGGACCCGACCCAGAGGGCGCGGGGAGAAGGGGCGGCCGGGCTGGACGACCGGGACGGAGCCGAGGAAGTTAGCAAGCGCACCGGAATGGAGCGAGCGTGGCCGCACGGGCGCTGCGCCGCATCCTCAGCTCGGACTAGGCAGGCGGCGTTTGGCGGGGGTTGGGGGCTGAGCGGCTGCCCGGGACCGGCTCCCCCCACGGACTTTATACCGGCCCCTGGCCACACCCCCAGCGCCTTCCCAGAGGTGGGGGAGCCCGGGCGGGAGAGGGGGAGAGGGGGAGGCGGCCGTTAGGGGGAGGGGTCGCTGTCCTGAGTCGCCGCCGCCACTCCAACATCTGAAAGTCCTTTGCTGCGGAAGAAAGAAGCGGCGCCGTAGGGAAGCCTTGCAGGCGCCCCCAGCGCCTGTGAACCCGAGCCGGGAGAGGAGAGCGGGAGAGGCGAAGCTGAGGGGCCGCTGCTTGGCCCCCTCCCCCAGCCTCGGAGGACACGTTTCCACCCCCGCCGGCGCAGCCCTCAGCGCCCCCCCCCCCCCCACACACACACTGGAGAACAGACTTCTAGCCAGGTCTCCCTGCTCCACTAATTCAGTGTCCCTGGCTGGAGTCCTTCCCACGCCACCCCAGCCTTGATTGTTGGAGATTGTGCCGCGTGGGGCGAGGCAGAAGGTAGAAGCACCTAGAGAGGGGCTCAGAAAGGCCTGGTATGAGAATAAAAGGAGGGCTGGTGACCCCAAGATATCAGTCAGCTGGGAGCTGTGGCCCCCTGCAACTTCCGCTTCCCCAGGAGTCCACCAGGGCTCATCTGGATCCTGGTCCACTTAGCTGCTTTCTGAAAAGCAAGCAAGTTCATTCCCGGGAGGGAAGTGCCAAGCTTCATCCTCTGTCCTGGGTATTTGCTTCTACTGCCCTCTCCCACTCCTGAAGGGAAACTGGCCCGTGGAACTGCCACCCACAACATGCTGGGTACTCCCTGAACACCTCCAGAGGGCACCACTCCCACAGTCACTGTATATTTCCGTAGTTGTGTAGATTTCCCAGCAAGTGGCAGTTAAGGGTTTTGAGGAAAGTGCCTTTAAAAAAAATTTATTTTATTTTTATTACAAAGTCAGATATACAGAGAGGAGGAGAGACAGAGAGGAAGATCTTCTATCTGATGATTCACTCCCCAAGTGAGCACATCGGGACGGTGCTGTGCCGATCCGAAGCCGGGAGCCAGGAACTTTTCAGGTTTCCCACGCAGATGCAGGGTCCCAAGGCTTTGGGCTGTCCTCGACTGCTTTCCCAGGCCACAGGCAGGGAGCTGGATGGGAAGTGGAGCTGCCGGGATTAGAACCGGCGCCCATATGGGATCCTGGGGCGTTCAAGGCGAGGACTTTAGCCACTAGGCCACGCCGCTGGGCTTGAAAGTGCCTTTTTCTAAGTGGTTCCATGTCCCCGCTTGGGCTAGCTTTTGGGACTGCCCTAGCCCTCAATGACATCCTCTTGGCACCCATATCCCCAGCCCGTGCCCCAGTTCTGCTAGGATTGAGAGGAGCCAGAGAGTAGCACTAGGTGCAGAAACTCATCTCCAAAGGTCTTTCTCAGACCTCCTCACCCAAAAGTTTCTGCTGTCATGCATCTCATCTTAGGATAAGGGCACCTGTCCAGGCATGACCAGTGAGTGATCCACTGTGGACTTGGTTTTTGTTTTTTGTTTTTTTCTTTTCTGGGTTGATAAGCAAAGCTGTGGGGCAGCCAAGCTGAAGTGCAGATCGGAGACCTCCCTTCCTGCTTCTTCTCCCAGGACAGGGGGTCTTTGGGCCTCACAGAGACAGAGCCCACTTTCTGCAACTGGAGGCCACCAGGGTGGTTGGAGGAAGAGCCGGGCAGGAAGCCCTGAGCCATGTCACAGAGCAAAACATTGCAAACGACGGCACCTACTGGCCACCATCAGGACTGCAGGGGGCTGGAGACATGGCCAAGGTCGAGCTCTGGGATTCTCTGCATCCCCTCTGGTGGTCTCAGACAGGTCCCTCCAGCCCTCATCTGCCTTGGAAAAGGGACAGACAGAGCCGGATTCTTCATGTCCCCAGGAGAAGTTCAGCCTGCACCTCATTCAGAAAGTGTCCCCTCAGGCCTTCCCTCTCCTCTGAGGTCGGCCTCCCAGCCTATCCTGTGACCTTGAAACTTAACAGTGTCTGTGAGATGGAGGTACATCAATTGCATCCATCCTGCCTCTTGAAGCTCTTGTGAGAATAAAATGGTACCAAGAAGGATAGTTCCCATCCCTCAATTATCTGGCTTATGTAGGCAACAAACCCAGGAGATGCAAAGGTACAGCAGGAAGGCAGGAGAGGCTGGGCAGAGAGAGCCAAGTGGCACATTTGGAGGAAGGATGAATGCAGGTATGTGTGGACAGCTGAGACAGGGGCTCACACCTCGACTCCCACACCTCCCCAGATCCCCAGTCCAACCTCTGGGAATCTGTCCACCAGGCAGGAGGATGGACAAGAAGAAGCCTTCCAAGTCCCTCCCCAGCATTCAGGCAGCACACATCTGACCAGGCATAAGCTTTGTGCCATACATTGGCGACCTGCGTCTCCTCCGTAGAACTGGAGAGCCCTGGGAGAGCAACTTGGTGCTGCCTGCCCCCAGCTCAGCTGGTAGTATCTGGGAGAGGCTGTAAATAAAAGGCATGGGTCATGGAGTACAGGGACCTGAGTTCAGAGTTGTAGTGCAGCCACTTAGCTGTGCAACCCTGTACCTAACCTTAAATATCTTAGAAGGTCATGTTCTGAGCCCAGCGCAGTAGACTGGTGGCTAATGTCCTCGCCTTACACATGCCAAGATCCCATATGAGTGTTGGTTCTAATCCTGGCAGCCCCGCTTCCCATCCAGCTCCCTGTTTGTGGCCTGGGAAAGCAGTCAAAGATGGCCCAAAGCTTTGGGACCCTGCACCCATGTGGGAGACCCAGAAGAGGCTCCTGGCTTTGGATTGGCTCAGCTCTGGCCATTGTGGCCATTTGGGAAGTGAATCAATGGAGAGATCTTTCTTTCTGTATCTTATTCTCTCTGTATATCTGCCTTTCCAATAAAAGCCAATAAATCCTTTTTTTAAAAAAAAAAAAAAAAAAGTGGTCAAGTACACCTTCTGTAAAACAACTGAGCTAACCCCGCACAGAGGAGCTGAAAGAAAAAAATGAAATCATGAGAAAAGGCAGTGGAGGCCCAGGAGCAAGGTCAAGTGCAGTGTTAGTCATTGGTGTTCCCCACCTGCCTGCTCTCTCCTTACAGAGTTCCAACAGAGAAACCGTCCAGACCAGGATCCTCTCCTCCTTCCCCGCCATGTTTCCCAGCCCGACCAGACAGTAAGAGGGTCCACTCAGCCTCCTGGGTACCCTGGGGGCCCTCCCGGCCTGCCTCTCCCACCCCCCACCCCCCCCGCCTTCATTGGCTTCTTGCTTAGAGTATCCCCAGCACCCTGGTCTCTACCATTTCAGACCTCAGTCGGCCTCCTTAGGGAATAGATAGGAAGAAAGCACTCCATTCCCAGGGAGATGATGCAGACCCAACACCAGGACCAGGTCTGGTAACTCTCCCTAGTGTAAGAGTTACCCCTCACTGCAGTAGACACAATTCTAAGTACCTCATTCTGTATCTTGGGGGAAGTGGGGAGACAAGGGGAGAAGCCACACCTAGCCTCCCAAATATCTCTGCACCCTGGGATGGAGGACAGCCACCCGACACCATCCCAGGGTCCCTGATGTGGGGCATGAGCATTTATTTCTATAAATTTTCCCTATGTAAGTGGAACTTAAATTTTTTCAAGGCAAAAAATAGACATATATATTGTATGTATGTAGTATTTAAAAGAGTGTTAAGTTAGCCTGCCCAGACTGTCCTGCTGGCAGTATTCAGTATGAGTAACCTGTGCCTCACTGTCCTCAGCTTCCTGATTAAGTGAGTCCCATACAGAGTGGCTATCAGGATGAAATGAATCTTGTAAAGTGCTTAAAATGGTGCCTGCCACATATTAAGTACCTAATGATTGTTGGTTATTAGCCATTACCAGCCAAGTGAGAGAGTCCAAGAGCCTGGAGCCAAAATGCCTGCAACTGGATCCTGGATTTGCCTTTCACTGGCTCTGTGACATTGGCAGGAGTGACACTCCCTCTTATCCTCAAAAGCCCTCATTTGTAACAGAGGATGATGCCAGCCTAGGCTGCCAGGGCTGCACAAAAAGAACAAAATATGGCACCTGGCATGGAATGAATGTTCAATATATGTTAGCCATGATGAGCCTACCACTCAGTGCAGTAAAAACACTGGCCTATGGTCACATGCACCTGAATGGTTTACTCCCCAAATGACTGCAACAGCCAGAGCTGAACCCATGTAAAAGCAGGAGCCAGGAGCTTCTTCTGGGTCTCTCACATGGGTACAGGATCCCGAAGCTTTGGGACTACTGCTTTGCTAGGTCACAATCAGAGAGGGAGCTGGATAGGAAGTAGAGCAGCTGGGACATGAACCAGTGCCCATATAGGATCCTGGTGCTTGCAGAGGGTGCCTAACCAATTGAGCCATCATCCCGGGCCCGACATGGTTGTTATGACCCTTTGAGTCTCTTCAGATTCTGTAATGACTGAGAATGGAAGAACAGAGATAAGGGGAAGCAGGGTTAACAAGGGGAAGGTCCAGGAATGGAGGGGCTGAAATACAGAGCAGGACAAAGATGAAATTGTAGAGAAGGATGGATAGATGTGATGGGAGGAAGAGCTGGGGTGGTGAGAGAGCTGTAAAGACGGAGAAGAAAATAAAGATCCCATCATTGAATCCCTTCTCTGTTCATCCAGGCCCAGGTGGTGACATTTTTTAGGTAAAAGAGCAGTTGAGGGGCTCAAGGCAGCAATAAGGATCTGTAGCTAAGAACCCAAAACTCCTGAGCTAATCTCTACATTTAAAGCCAAGGTCTATGGTAGGTCCTAGGGTCCAGTTAATATTAAGAACTTCCAGACCTGGGGCCCGGCAGCGTGGCCTAGCGGCTAAAGAACTTCTGGATCCAGGTCCAGCGTGATGGCTCAATGGATAAATTCCTGCCTTGCAGACACCAGGATCCTATATGGATGCCAGTTCACATTCTGGCTGCTCCCTTTCCCATCCTGAGATAGCCTGGGATATGCCCTGGGATAGCAGAAGAG